CCAGAACCCATGTCATCATAAGAAGGAAGAAGAATATCCGTATCAGATATATTTCCAGGATCAGATATATATGGAATGTCAAATGTAAGAGTTGTAAGGTGTGGCTTGGAAGGGAGGATTATGGTTGGTCAAGCATATATCGGATTTCATTCCAAGGGGGGGGGGGGGGGTTATAAACATGTTGTCTTCTTATGTAATTAGATTATTTTAAACTAATTGGCCTGTTGTGTTGCAGTCAACTGGAAGATGTATCAGAAATAATTACCCTTGTAACATGGACGGGAAATCTTCCTTTGTTCTTTTCGTTGAATAAGCAGATTGTTTTCCCTCTAGTAGATTGGGTGGAGCTTAACCGTGCAATAACTAGACAAGTTCAATGTTATTGCACTCTTTTGCTGGTTTACACTAGTTTTAGTAGAAATCATATAGAGAAGTGGGGGGGGGGGGTGTTTTCTGTGCAATAACAACAAGCATGTTGAGCAGGTGTCAATGTTACAAGTCATTTATAGCACGCTTCATTCGTTAACAGGTTTAACATATTAACTCATGAAAGCCGTGCTATAAATATAACTTGTTGGTTTCAATAATTTAAAAATTTCAGAATTTTGACTTTTGTCAGCTGATATTGACAAAAAAGAGTACCAATATTTTGTCCAAAAAAATCTGAATGAAGAATACACATTTTTATATTCTTCAAGCTTGATTTGAATTCAATTGTTAAAATCATTTTACTAAAAGTACTTATTCTGATAAACAGCCAAGTTATAAAGGAATGAAAATTGTAGATTTGCAAATCTACTGACTTCAAATGGCATAAATAGTGAAAATGTGTACACATAAGGAAGTAATCCATTATCTGTCTAAAAATGCATATATTGCCATGTCTTTTGGACAGGGTGTAGGTGATATGGGCCAGGTGTGGGAGCATAAGTTGTTTTGTAAATAGAACAAATTCATTCCTATATAAGACACAGGTCAACTAAAAATATGTCTACTTTCGTCACCCACGAATGTAGTTCTGATCTAAAAAAAAATCTCTTATTTTTTATTAGGCAAATCTTTAAAGAATTCATGTCAATCGTCGATCTTTCATATCCAGCTAAACGTGTGTTTTATTTACCACTGTAATTATAAACCGTTAATATTAAGACATTTGAAGGCGTGGGTGGATTTTTAAATTCACTGAGGGTTTGCGCATGCGTACCGATGTCAAATTCAATGTTTCATTGAATGTATTCCGTAACTTCACAGAAAAGAAATAAACGATGTGTTCCGACCGTGATAAAGAAATTTTCGTTACAGGGGCAACGCCTTCAAATGTCTTAAAGGACAATATTGGTGTCAGTCATTATAAAATATGTGATAGAGCTCGTTAAATACACCCCAAATATAATTTTAACACAGAGATCATTGCTACGATATCTGAGAAACAGGCACGTGAAGAAACGGGAAGTGACGTCAAACATGACAAACACGAGTTGTCTTTCTATATAACAGACTGAATTAACGAGCGGTAACAGACAAACCATCAAATTTCATTTCACTGATAATTCAGTTGAAGATGAAAAGTTGTTATGAGACGATGAGAGGATATCTGACAATTCAAAAAAGAATTGGCTGTCAGTAGATAAAAGATAACGAACAAATTAGAAAAACTCCGTGCATTACCATGTTTTTATTAAGAACAGAATGAATAAAAACGTGGGAATGCACGGGATTTTTCTATTTTTCTCGTGTTCCTTATCTAGTGACAGCCAATTCTATTTTTGAATTGTGAGATACCCTCCCACCGTCCCATATAATAACTTTTCAACTTCAACGGAATTATCAGTGAAATGAAATTTGATTGTTTGTCTGTTACCGCTCGTTACTTCAGTCTGTTATATAGAAAGACAACTCGTGTTTGTCATGTTTGACGTCACTTCCCGTTTCTTCACGTGCCTGTTTCTCAGATATCGTAGCAATGATCTCTGTGTTAAAATTATATTTGGGATGTGTTTAACGAGCTCTATCACATATTTTAAAATGACCGACACCAATATTGTCCTTTATTATTAACGGTTTATAATTACAGTGGTAAATAAAACACGCGTTTAGCTGGATATGAAAGATCGACGATTGACATGAATTGTTTAACGATTAACCTAATATTAAAATGAATATAATGTATTCCAACAGCTGACATTGGTCTGTTTATAATACATATGGAGAGAGAGAGAGAGGGGGGCGTCTATAAATCTAATAATTTAACTTTATTTTAGCCCCAAATATAGTCCAATTTTGCAGTATGATGTTTGTTATGAAAAAAAAACCCACTTTGCCGGATAAAGTATGTGGAAAATTTTCTATTAAAGGAGCTAAATCGTTAATATTCGGGACCTAGAAGGTGACACAAATGGGTCGCAACGCATATGATAATGTAATATGAATGTATATAAACCGATTTACATTCAATTGTTTCCGTTTTTACTCTAATTTCAAATGAGTTATGTTCGGCAAAATACGTCAGAAGTCTAAATCGGATAGCAATCTCTAACATCTAGTTATTCCAGTCTACACTGATAGTAAATTATTGCGCATGCTCTCCAGATAAGAATATGAGGTCACCGTTTGACATGAATTCCGGAATATGTCTAGCCTCGTTCTTCGAGTCCCTTGTTACAAATGCCGCTGAAACGCATTATGGTACACGATTCGTGAACCAATGATAAAATGTTTATTTTGTCTTAAATATTGAATATTGCCCGGTAAGATAACAACATTATCTTGATTTAAATTGACAAATAATTTCTGTTTGCAATGTCCAAGACTTTGGACGATATGTTGTTAAGAGACATGGCTACTTTAATTATTGTATTGTATGCTATACAATACTCCTGTATACGTTAATATCATGCATTTGTATAACAAAGGATTATCATTATTATCTCACATGATCGATTTAAATATGTCACAGCTGTGAACATGAAGAGACGGTTTGGGGTGGTTTTAGATGATATAGTAAGTATGATATCAGGCAGTCTAAGTGACATAGAATTAAAGAATAACCCTATAATTAACTACATAACCTGATTAATCACCTGACGTACCATATGTTTTGATATTGACTTAGCTACTTTAAAGGCTCAATACCACCCATGTTGTAACTGAATATGTCCCAATCTTTATTCTGGTCAACAAATTGTACTTTTTTACAATATTCCAATTAATTGATGATACAAATTTCATCTTAACACACCTAATTTAAAAAATTGGAATAATTCAACTAAATGATTTGAAAAGCCTGACGTAAAGCTTTTCAAATGTGACTTGGATTTAAAAATATTTTTGAACCCTCTGGACAAGTAAAATAGGATTTAATGGATAATTTACACAAGAGGTAGGACACTAACACATCTAGTACTTAGAATAAGGCCAATTTTTTTTTCTGGAGCTGTCAAGCCAGCAAGAGCATATAGTGGGGAGGGGTAAATTTTAATTTCGAAAATAACTGATTTACTAAACGGTCCAACAATTTCGTCGAGATCTTCCAAAATTTCGCGTAATGTCGTTAGTGTAGTTGTGCAGTTTCATCAAGAATTAGTTGCGTATATGTCGAGTCAGCTGTTCTTGCATATGTGTCGAAATGGGGTTTAACAGGACACAAGCTCATCATATTAAATATGGAACATGACACAAGCTCATCATATTATATAGGCTACAGGACACACGCGCACCATATTAAATAGGTGTAACGCTAGTTAATATCCGACCACAAGGTTTGGGGTGTAATTAATATTATGCCAATAATGTACCTCGGCTACAGAAACCAAAATACAAAGGACCCCCACCCCCACCCTCACCTTTAAATAGACAAGATTAGGAATTAGCCAAAAGGTAATTCTCCTCAAGTATCCCCAAGCAAAAAATGAGAGATGGTCAATTATATATTAAATGCGTATAACAGAATACAGATATATTTTCAACTAATTGAAGATACATTATGTGTTAATCATTAAAGATACATTATGCGTTAATCATTAAAGATACATTATACATTAATCATTAAAGATACATTATGTGTTAAGCATTAAAGATACATTATGTGTTAAGCATTCAAGATACATATGTGTTAAGCATTAAAGATACATTATGTGTTAATAATTAAAGATACATTATGTGTTAATCATTAAAGATACAATCTTTTGTGTGTTAATTATTAAAGATACATTATGCGTTAATCATTAAAGATACATTATGTGTAAAGCATTAAAGATACATTATGTGTTAATCATTAAAGATATATAATGTGTTAATCATTAAATATACATTATGTGTTAATTATTAAATATACAAGGGTTAAAATTTTGTAATTTGTCTATAACATGAGTTGTATCAAAGATAGATACAAAGGAAAGTGAAATGCCGGGTTAAGAATGGATACAAGGGAAAGTTGAATGCCAGATGCATTATGTGTTAATCATGAAAGATACATTATGTGTTAATTATTAAAGATACATTATGTGCTAATCATTAAAGATACATTTTGTGTTAACTATTAAAGATACAATTTGTGTTAACCATTAAAGATACATTTTGTGTTAACCATTAAAGATACAATTTGTGTTAATCATTAAATATACATTATGTGTTAATCATTAAAGATACATTATGTGTTAATCATCAAAGATACATTATGCGTTAATCAGTAAATATACATTAAAGTGTTAATTATTAAATATACATTAAATTGTTAATTATTAAAGGTACATTATGCATTAATCATTAAAGATACATTAAAGATAATTATGCTTTAATCATTAATCAATAAAGATACATTATGCGTTAATCACTAAAGATACATTATCTGTTAATCATTAAAGATACATTATGAATTAACCATTAAAGATACATTATGTGTTAATTATTAAACATACATTTTGCATTTATCATTAAAGATACATTATGTGTTAATTTTTAAAAACATTATTCGTTAATTATTAAACATACATTATGCGTTTATCACTAAAGATCCTTTGTGTGTTAATCATTAAAGATACATTATGCGTTAATCATTAAAGATATATTATGTGTTAATCATTAAAGATACATTATGTGTTAATCATTAAAGATACATTATGTGTTAATCATTAAAGATATATAATGTGTTAATCATTAAAGATATATTATGTGTTAATCATTAAATATACATTATGTGTTAATCATTAAATATACAAGGGTTAAAATTTTGTAATTTGTCTATAACATGAGTTGTATCAAAGACTTCATCACGTAAAGCCTCTCTTAGGAGACTGGCCAAGCTCCTATAGAACTAGCAGGGGGGAGGAGGTTGTTTTGTGTCGCTCTCGCATAGGTCATACTTTAACCCACATTTTCATCTTGAAGCGAAAGCCTCAACCAGAATGTGAACACTGTCATGTTCCTTTGACAGTTAAGCACATTCTGATTGAGTGCAGGCATCTCAAGAATATTAGATCAAATTATTACTGTTGTCAGTCATTACATCACATGTTTGCCCAACTGGGTTTATATGGTAAAGCATTAGACTTTTTAAAAGAGACAGGATTTTATCATAAATTTTAATTGTATATATCATTTCATTTTTGTTTTTAATATTTATATGCGTAAAAGTTGTATTTTATTTTTAATTTTAGTAACTGTGATATTGTTTTTATGTATGCATATAATGTTTTTCTGTGATATAATTTAGCCTGTCTCGTAATATTCACCATATGTTTGGTGCAATATAGCCCGGTTGGAGCTGACGTGCCATTAAACAACATTTCATTCATTCATTGTATCAAAGATAGATACAAGGGAAAGTGAAATGCCAGCTTAAGAATGGATACATGGGAAATTAAATGCCAGGGCAAGAATAGATACAAGGTAAAGTGGAATGCCAGGATAAGAATGGATACATGGGAAAGTGGAATGCCAGGGTAAGAATAGATACAAGGGAAAGTGGAATGCCAGGGCAAGAATAGATACAAGAGAAAGTGGAATACTAGGTTAAGAATGGATACATGGGAAAGTGGAATGCCAGGGTAAGAATAGATACAAGGGAAAGTGGAATGCCAGGTTAAGAATGGATACATGGGAAAGTGGAATGCCAGGGTAAGAATAGATACAAGGGAAAGTGGAATGCCAGGTTAAGAATGGATACATGGGAAAGTGGAATGCCAGGTTAAGAATGGATACATGGGTAAGTTGAATGCCAGGTTAAGAATGGATACAAGGGAAAGTGGAATGCCAGGTTAAGAATGGACAACTGGATATTGGTAATACACACTGTAACAAAAACTGTTCTTTTGTTTCAATTTTATTTGAACATTGTTGACCTAGGGGAGATTGGTCTGTAACAACCTCTATCTATTTCCGGATTATAAGTACTAAGATGTAAAGATGTCATAATCTATTTATATTCGGGGTTTTTAAGGGGCTGGTGGGGAAATAAGTGGTGTCCTCTGGTGACCACAAATCTTCACACCAACTTTAAAGGATCCAAGAAAAAGTCTAGCCTATATCACGTGCAAAAGCCAATTGTTGACGGAGTGACAACCTAACACACCCAAACTAAAATGTATATCAGTTTCAGTTTGCTTACTTAAACATTGTTGACCCAATTTTTAATTAAAGTGGAATTAAATTAATTAAAGAATATCATTACTTTGAAAATTGTTGATCTAACCATTGAGTAAGTGGGATTTATCTGAAATAACCTCTCCCTATTTCTAGAGTATAAATACATGTACTTTGAAAAACTGTTTTGTTTTCGAGATTTAAACACCTCTAGCCACATCGCCTTTCCTCTCTCACGCCCTCTCAGTCTCTCACTACAACATAATCTGATTACAACACAGATTCTATTTCGTTTCTTTTTTTATAATTTAAAATTTTGTTTTACTTGTCTTTACTACACTAGAATCTGGAAGAATTGTTATATATTACCGGCGTTTTGGTTGAAGTGAGGGATTACCCAATGCACGGAAGTGTGGGTAAACCACTAGAAACATCAACGCTGACGTCATAGGGTCAAAAGCCGCTCATACGACCCCTGACACAACCTTCGAGTACAACTTTTCAGATCTTCATGTAGTATAGATGTCATTGGTGTAGGCCATCGAAAGTATAAAAAAACGAAACAAAATATAGATCTGGGCCCTTATTCACGAAAACTTAACTGAGATAAATCCAAATATTAGTAATTTGATTGGATAATATTAGATTGATTTTAGTGCTTAGCCAATCAAAGTTGAGGTATCTACTAAAATTTGGATTTTATCTTAAGTTAAAATTTCATGAATCAGGGCTCGGTACTTTAATCAGATCGATTACAACATTTTTATCTGAAAAGCGAAACTAGTTTTAGGGGATTCTCACTCTATCTTTATCAGGATGTGGATGATTTACAGGGAAAACATTGTTCTTCAAGGGGTCAGGATCAGATGCCGGTTTCTGGAATGGGGTCGCAACCAACAAAAGATTTGGAACCACTGACGTGCTGTGTGCTCTGCTGTTCATGTGTGCCCGCAGACTGTTTCTATGTGCAAATGATTTACTACAAACATCACAAGAAAAGGGTTTATCTCCTGTATGAAGTCTAGTGTGTCGATGTAGACCACCACTAGTGCTAAAACATTTACAGCAAAAATCACAAGAATAGGGTTTTTCCCCCGTGTGAATTCTTGTGTGTTCCAATAGGTTACTATTTGTAACAAAACATTTATTACAAACATCACAAGAAAAAGGTTTTTCACCAGTATGGATTCTGCTGTGTCGCTGTAGACTACTGTAGGAGACGAATGTGTCACTACAGACATCACACGAAAAGGGTCTTTCTCCGGTGTGAATTCTCATGTGTCTCTGTAGATTACCGCTGGTTGTAAATGATTTTCTGCAAACATCACAAGAATAGGGTTTTAATCCAGAATGGGTTTTTATGTGTGTCTGTAGATGACTATTAGTGGTAAATGATTTTTGACAAACATCACAAGAAAAAGGTTTTAATCCAATATGACTTTTTCTATGTATCTTCAAATTAGAGCTAGTATTACACGACTTACTGCAAACATCACATTTAAAAAGTTTTTCACCGGTATGAATTCTACTGTGTCGTTTCAAATTTCCTGTATGTCTAAATGATATACCACAAACATCACATTCATATGGCTTCTCTCTGGTGTGAATCACAATGTGTTTATTTAATCTCGAAAGATATTTAAATGATTTAAAACAAACATCACATTTATAAATTCTATTGGAGAAAGATTCAATCGACATTTTCAGCTTTTCTCCGGACTGTCTTCTCTAAAAAAAAAAATAATAATTATTTTAATAGTTTGTTTTCCTTCTTTTTGGGGGGTGGGGTGGGGGGGGGCATGGCTAAATGATCTAATATATACAGCAATTTAAATTATAAGTTCCTCATTCAGAGAGAGAGAGAGAGATGGGGTTTAACCTCCATTTGACACAAACTAGATCATTTCGGGACTAACAAATGGTTCGATTTCATTTCAATAATCTGCTAGTGCTTAGGGGTCTTTAGCAATGGAAGGAAACTAGACGACTCAGAGAAAACCCTTGAGGTTGTACAGGCGACTCTACTCCTTGTCACGTACAAGCAGGGAATCGAAACCACGCCACTTGACTCAATGACAGACCGTGTGATCAAACACACATGTGTTGGCTTGGTTTCTGTTCCCAATTATACATGGTGGCGATACCTTTTTACTACAATGTTGACTTATTTATATTGCAATTGCTGACACATTTAGCCGATTCAGTACTTCTTTAAAGTTCTAGTTCATATTGCAATGGCCTGACATATATTAGAATTCATCACAGCATTGTTAATAGTAAATATAATTTTAAGACTTCAAGGGATTCAATATCCTATCCGATACTTTAAACATACATTATTTAAGAGCTAAATCTGTGTATTGCAGGTCTTTTTTTAGGCCTTAAATGTTATATAAACTACTAGGATACCCAGCCTCATCCAGGACCCCAATTTGAGGGCCGAAAAAACATTCACAGGGACATGCTGGTTAATTTGATACCACATATATGGGGTGGGGGTGGGGCACAGTGACGAAGCTGGATGGTCGAACATACATACATAAACACATCTTTGATTTTATTTATATATAGATTAATTAGACCCTAATCAACTCTCTAGACCATCGGATGCCCTTGATTTTCAATAGATTTATCGTAACAACGATAACATCATAGGTTTAAAATATGTTAAAAATGAAATGCAATGGGGTTTAACATCCTACTGTTCAGCTCCAACTGGGTTAGGAAGGCGGGCATACACCATACAGTGTGATATGAGGGAAATTCTGCCAGGGCAGCGGCACTATTGCCTACACTTAAATCAAATTCGAACTGCCAAGGGATCTTTTATGTGCATACCAATGTGTAAAGGGGACCTCGGGTTTTTTCATCCCATCCGAACAACTAGACAGCTGTCCTTGTGTCTGGCCTTATTTACTAACAGAAACTTACATGTATTGGTCTTTACCTGTTTTTGAGTGAAAATATCCTTCTATCAATAGCATGTATTGTTTAAAATGAAACAGTCAACTATTTCACTTTAGGTAAAAAGGTCTACTAACCAGTACCAGATATTTATGACACTATTATTTTTTCTTTATTTTAGAAGAGTCACTTCGTGAATAATTCACTGATACATATTGTCTCAAATTCTTTCACGGATCCACAAGTCACCTCTGTAATCGAGAATAATTGACAGATACATGTACATATCCACAAGTCACCTCTGTAATCCACTATTATTACACTGGTGCTCTGTTTCCACGCATTTTACGACCGAACAGATGTTATTGATTAATAACAGGACAATAAACACAAAGTTTATAAATGGTTTATCCCATTTACATTTAACAACCGACTAGACAATTACATGCAAGGTTGATATTATTCATCTACTATATATTTACATTTGTACAGCCGACTAGACAATTACATGCAAGGTTGATATAAATCGTTGTCTATATATAGCACTGCATGCTACCTTACTACATGTTGGGCTTATTGATCTAAAAACATTTTCAGCCTATAATTCTATTAAGTATGGTTGAATAAACAAATAAAATTGTTTTGCCTTCATGCATACATGCTGTTGGCCAAAAGCTACTGTAAATTTTCCCGATTATAACTGAAGTTAAAATAGTTGTTTGGTTGAAGGAAAATACAGACATTTTTATAAAATTTCCGCTTGATGGAAAAGAATAACAGAGACAATAAAACGATGTTGAATCAGTGAATAAATTTTTTAAAACCTTTGTAGTTTTTTTTGGTTAAACAAGCATTATGCTAGAGCTAAATGTGCCTATTGCAGGTTTTTCTTAGGCCTGAAATGTTACCTAAATTATTAATTAGATATTAATTTACTTATCCAGACCATAATTAACTCTCGATAGCAATGGATTTCTCCGATATTAAATAGATTAAATAATTCAGCCATATTTTGATTTAATTTAAAAATGGAGGAGCGAGGCGTGGCTTCAAACAACCAGTACAGTGGTTACAATTAATGGACACATCTTGTCAAACCTTAAAAGGCTAATATCTTCACTCGCAATAGAGTAATTTGAATGAAATTTTCAAATTATTAATTTTACATTATCTATTTTTGAACTGTTATAGTGAGAATGGCTAGAGTTTTATCTAAATCTTACATAAAGTATGTTTAATTAATTGTTTATAACCATATAGATCTAATCCTTATAAGACATATAGAAGTAGATTTCACAAATTAAAAACACTTATATGGGTATACTACTTCTGAATTTATTAACATCCTACGTTTCGATACACATACAGATATCGTTATCAAGCAAATAATGATATATAACACTAATGAATTGCCGATAGTTTGATTGACAGACGATAACACCACCCAACTATTCTCAATTATCAATTTTTTTGTATAAACTCTATATTGTCCTTATCAGACATATACATGTTGTAGAAGTAGATTTCACAAATTAAAGAAACTTATATGGGTATACTACTTCTGAATTTATTAACATCCTACGTTTCAATACACATACAGATATCGTTATCATTATTTGCTTGATAATGATATCTGTATATGTATTGAAACGTAGCATGTTAATAAATTCAGACGTAGTATATCCATATAAGTGTTTTTAATTAATGAACCATATAGGACTCGTAGATCGTCTTGACTTAGTTTTTGACACTCTGTCAGATTTTAATAATCTCCATTTATCTCTATTGTCGCAACCAAGAAGGACATATTTTTGTCCCACTTTATCAAAATTTCAGATTCAGTATTTGGTTCAGAGAAAAACTGTTGAATGAAAATATATACCGGTAGGTGGAATCAATGCATTCTATACAGAATTATTTCTAATTACATCTTAATCATTTGTTCTTTAGATGAACACCACTATGCTTAAATTTTGATATCGTCTTGAATTCTTTCGAGGAAGCCTGACAAGTACAGCTGTCTAGTCGTTCGGTTGGAACGAAAAATCGAGGTCCCGTGTACACATTGGTGTACACGTAAAAGATCCCTTGACAGTTGGAATTCGACCATATTGCCGCTGTCCGGGCAAAATTTCTCTCATAGCCCGTCTTTATTAGCCCAATTTTGGAGCAGAACAGTAGGGCGTTAAACCCCATTTCATTTCATTTCTTTCGTGGAACCACCGGTCACCTTTCTAATTCACTTTATTACATACCCTAATGCTCTATTTCGTGGCATTTTACACCTAAACAGATGTTATCTATTAATTGTTTGCAGTATAATAAACACAAAACATATAATAGGCTTCATATAGCAATGTCTCTTGGTTTATGATTTACATTATGGTACAGCAATCAACTTGAATATTTGGGAAATTCACATATCATTGTATAAAACAACAACAAAAATTACTTAGACATGATTAATAATCAGTAATTTGTTACAAATGCTACATGTAACTTATAACAAGAGTGGCATTCAAGAATACATTTTCTATAAAGAGAAAAAGACTAAAAACGTGGTTTTTCCTAGCATTTACCATGTTAAAACACATGAAGAAAAGGCCAGTCTTCCAGAGCTAAGAGAGAGAGAGAGAGAGAGAGAGAGAGGGGGGGGGTAATCTCCACTTGACACAAATTATGTCATTTTGGGACCAACATATGGTTCTATTTTATTTCAATAATATGTTTTCACTAGGGGTCTTTAGCAGTGGGAGGAAACCAGAGGACCTGGAGAAAACCCATGTACACATACATGGGGAATCGAAACCACGCCAGTTGACTCAATGGCAGATGTTATGATACAGCGAGCTCAAGCTGACCATTGGGCCATTCAACCGCCCTATAGAGCTAAAAATAGACCATGCACGTGTTAACCAAAAAATAGACATTGGAAATATGTCATACATTGTCCTACCTTGTTATCTTTCAGCACTTGGTATAAATATTTGACTACCTCAATTCCTCGAAGAAAATAAAGGGAAACAGACCAAAACTGCTGTCCGTTAGACCGCCTCAAACCACCTGAAATATGTATATATAAATTTCTGTAAACGTTTTTAAGTCATTACATTAAAACTAATCTAAACGATTTAAAAAAAAATATGATGTTGCAACGTTCGTATATGAAATGTTTAAAAATAGGCATTAAATATCATTTGAGATATAAAAGGCCTAACTTAAGGCCTACATACAAGCCGTATTAATATAATTTACTATTCTTTTAGAAATCCATGTAAATCTAATTCTTTGTTATTTCTTATTAAAGGAGCAAAATCGCTAATATTTTGGACCTAGAAATTGACACAAATGGGTCGCAATGCATATTATAATGTAATATGAATATAAACTGATTTACATTCAATTGTTTCCTTTTTTACTCTAATTTCAAATCAGTTATGTTCGGCGCGAAATATGGCGGAAGTCTCAATCGAATGGCATTCTCTAGCGTCTGGTTATTCCAGTCTATACAGATAGTATTTATTGTGCATGCTCTCTAAATAGGAATATGGTATCACCGTTTGACATGACTTAAAATTGTGGAATATGTCTAGCCTCATTCTTCGAGTCCCTTGTTACAAATGGTGCTGAAACGTTTTATGCTACACGATTAGTGTACCAATGTTAAAAATTTTATTTTGTCTTAAATATTGAATATATAGTAGTGGACACATTAGCCGAATCATTCGGCCGAATCAATCGGTGCCGAATTTTATTCGGCCGAATGGGTGGACACACTAGCCGAATGCTTCGCCCGATTCAACCTGCCGATTGCATCACCTCTCACGTCACATGATTAAACATGGCGGCATCTATGTCTTCAATCTATCACGTGACTTCTCGATATGAGTGGTGATTGGCTAATGAATTATATATTCGGCCGAATGCTTCAGCGAAGCGGACACACCAGGCGAATATAATTCGCCCGAATAAATATTCGGCCGAATATTTCAAACTTGTTTGATTCGGGCGAATCATTCGGCCGAATTTCTATTCGAATGACAGTGGACACACTAGGCGAATTTCGACGCCGATTGATTCAGCCGAATCATTCGGCTAGTGTGTCCACCGCTTCACAAACCCATCTTTGCCTGGTAAGATAATAACATCAAATAATTGGATGATATTGAGTAAGAGACATGGCTACTTTAATGATTGTAGGCCTATTGTATGCTATACAATACTCCTGTATATATTAATATCATGCATTTGTATAACAAAGCAGCATTATTATTATTATCTCGCATGATCGGTTTAAGTATGTCACAGCTGTGAATATGAAGAGACGGTTTGGGGTGGTTTTAGAATGATATATAGTAAGTATGATATCAGGCAGTCTAAGTGACATAGGATTAAAGAATAATCCTATAATTGACTACATAACCTGATTAATCACCTGAGTACCATATATTAAGATATTGACATCAAATCTTATTCATTGCCCCAAATTCTACTATTAGTAGCCTACTATACAATGCTGCTGTATGACAACAGGATAATACACGAGTACCAAACTCGATACATTCATGTACAGCAGAGTATTTCAAATTAATATTTTAACATTAAATAGTAATAGTAAGTAATATACCTGTAGCCTATATAAAATATGTCTTGCTTGATTAAAAACGCTTTCGCCATTTCATGTTATCTTGTTATCCCCATATCAAAACCTCCGGTCTATGAGAACCGTCGTGTGGTTATGTGTATAGTCCGTCACCACTAGCATAATCCAACCACCGTGATAATTGTTTCCTCTATACAGTATCATACAGCTGGTCGCTTATCTGATTACCTGCTTGATAAAGTAGATTCTATTATTGATTATTATTGTTGGGCAGTGACCTATTTTATAAAGAATGTTGTTGTTCTAAAATGTGATTTGGATCTACACCAACCCGAGTAATGCATGTTTACAGATCATCATTCATTACATACGTAACTAACGTACGTAACTAACGTACGAAAATTAAATGGTAACTTCTCTGCAGGTAGTGTGGGTCTGTTTGTCGTTGAGATTGCGTTCAATACTGCTTCTGTGAAATGACCTGATATTCCACAATTTATTGGGGGGTTGGATGGCTGAATGGTTAGCATGTGCGTAGTGTATCATATTGTACGTGACAAGGAGTAGGGTCGCTTGTCCAACCTTGTTTTTTTACTCCGGGTCCTCAGGTTTCCTCCCACTGCTAAAGAACCCCTATGCGCAAGCAAATTATTGAAATAAAATTAAAACCATATGTTGGTCCCAAAATGACCTAGTTTGTGTGAGTGGAGTTAAACCCCATCTCTCTCTCTCTCTCTCTCTCTCTCTCTCAACAATTTATCTGTAGCAATAAAAGTAATGAGTTAGAAGAATCTGTAATATTTGTGTTCAATCTGTTTCACAGCACAATGCAAAAGCCTTCTTTTTAACAGTAGCTGGATTTACCCAAATGCACCATTATTTCAACTCATATAATAATAATTTATATCTGTATTTGATAATATACCCTTCTTTATGGCAAATTGTTATTTTTTTATTTAAAATCGTAGTGATTTTGAGTAATACAAGATTGATATCCCTTGGCTATAACTTCCAAAATTGCTTATACATCACATTTTGGGGGGCATTTTGACATAAAAACACTACTTTACAAGCAAATGTTTGAATTCACTAAAGGTGTGTGCAATTTTTTATTCTTTCTTTTTTTTAATAAAAATTTGTTTTATCAGAAATTACATTTACTAATTCTAAGGAATTGACACTTAGCAGACCCCGTTTTTTATGGCAAATAGTTATTATGGATTTAGACAGGCTACCATTTTTCTTGTCAAGTACAGATTGATATAAAGGACCATCATAAAATTTCAACAATTTCAAAAAAAGATAATGAAAACAATATATATTGAAAATATCAGTCAGATTGCTTCACTCTGAAACCGAGATATTAGCCATTGTTTTTTTTTTAGGCTAGTCTCGGTTGTCATTACTGACGTTAGTATGATTAAGTTTCGATTATCCAGTTTCACATACAATCGTAATTCACAGAATGAATTCAAATCCAGTAAATATCCCAGGCTAACGGTGATATAGAGAGTTGATTATGGTCTGGATAAATTGATTAATGTCCAATTAATAGTTTATATAACATTTCAGGCCCAAAGAAAGACTTGTAATTGACAGATTTAGCTCTTGCATAATATTTGTTTAAAGTGGCTATTTTAAATAAGTATAATTAAAGTGGTTATTTTTGAATAAGCATAATAAAAGTGTTTATTTTTAAATTATTATAATAAAAGTGGTTATTTTTAAATGAGTATAATCAAAGTGGTTAACTTTAAATAAGTATAATTAAAGTGGCTATTTTTAAATTAGTATAATTAAAATGGTTATTTTTAAATTAGTATAATCAAAGTGGTTACCTTTAAATAAGTATAATTAAAGTGGTTATTTTTAAATTGTTGTAATTAAAGTGGTTATATTTAAATTAGTATAATTAAAGTGGTTATATTTAAATTAGTATAATTAAAGTGGTTATTTTGAAATTGTTGTAATTAAAGTGGTTATATTTAAATTAGTATAATTAAATTGGTTATTTTGAAATTGTTGTAATTAAAGTGGTTATATTTAAATTGGTGTAATTAAAGTGGCTATTTTTAAATAAGTATAATTAAAGTGGTTATTTTTAAATAAGTATAATTAAAGTGGTTATTTTTAAATTAGTATAATTAAAGTGGTTATATTTAAATTAGTATAATTAAAGTGGTTATATTTAAATTAGTATAATTAAAGTGGTTATTTTTAAATAAGTATAATTAAAGTGGTTATTTTGAAATTAGTATAATTAAAGTGGTTATTTTTAAATTAGTATAATTAAAGTGGTTATATTTAAATTAGTATAATTAAAGTGGTTATTTTTAAATAAGTATAATTAAAGTGGTTATTTTTAAATAAGTATAATTAAAGTGGTTATTTTTAAATTAGTATAATTAAAGTGGTTATATTTAAATTAGTATAATTAAAGTGGTTATATTTAAATTAGTATAATTAAAGTGGTTATTTTTAAATAAGTATAATTAAAGTGGTTATTTTGAAATTAGTATAATTAAAGTGGTTATTTTAAAAATTCTATAATTAAAATGGTTATTTTTAAATGAGTATAATTCAAGAGGTTTTTTTTAAATTCGTATAATTAAGGCAAGCAGATTCTTTTTCCTCACAATGTTTTTTTCTATCCGCACTGATTAGATGGATCTCATGTTTTAACTTATTTTTAGTACGACAAAGGGAGAAGATGACCCGCCCTGTCTTCCCACTACATCGATTTTAACGCCAAGTTTTAAAGTGACTATTTGATATACCAGAACTTGTTGGGTTTTTTTTAATGTTTTTATCTATTTTCCTTTTTTCATATACGATGCCTTCAGACGTAAATAACTCAGCCTGTCCATAATATTAAATTACAATGTATTTGATGTCAACAGCGTCGTAAACTCTTTCAGAACGTCCGTCAAGAAAAACCAACAGCTGTCTAGTGGTTCAGATGGGACAAAAAACTAAGTCCTGTGTACACATTGGGTCAATTCAAGTCCCGGGTTAGGCTTGTGTTATGGTTGTGTTGTGGTGGTGTATAACTGGTTTTCTTTTTAGTGCCTTAACCTGAGCCTCTCGATTTATCACTAGTGTTTACACCAGTGTCTAAACTCGTTTAATACCAGTGTTGACCAGGGCTTCCACTTCAAAATTGTCACTACCGGTCATTTTTGATAACGCACGAAAACTTTTCAAAGTAAATTCATATTTCATGTTTTTTATTCATGGTATGGTATTGTGAATTCACGTGTCTATACCACTTTGTCACCATGATGGGGTAGTGGTACACAAAAAAAAATATATTTGACTTAAAAATGAAATATTAGTAAGGCTTATGATAATTATTTATTAATTAATTAAATATTCCATTTAACACTGGTGGTAAATAAAAAAAAAAACTATAACACTAGTGTTATTTTTAAACGTTACACTTTGTTTTTGTCTTCTGTTCTAAAGCATTCAATTATTTGCATGACCTGGTCAACTAAGAATAACAAAGGTAATTGGGGAAAACTAACCGCTTCCAGGAAGTTAAGTAACTAGGATCTATGTTGAATTTTTGAAGTCTCATTTGTTCATTATTCAGGCGAAATTTCCTAAAATGTCTCGTAAATTGGCAGGTCTGTGATCAACATTTCTTTGTCTTACATTTTGGCTATATATATATATGGATAAAAAAATCATTTTAAGCCTTAAAACTAAATCTAAAAAACGTAAAAGAAATTCCCCTCTTGCCGTTTGCTGTTTTACACCAGTGTTGTAATAAATGACTTGAACTGAGATTTTTTTTAACCCCTAGGGGTTAGTGTTAGAGTTATTTTTAATAAGATAATATCTTTTATCAAGTTATTATTATCTAACAAGTTTTTATGTAATTAGAAATAATATTGCACAAAGCTCCTTGTCTTTATATTTTTTCATGTAAATTTGTTTCTTAAATCAGGAAATTGATACTGAAAATATAGACAAACTGAGGGGCTCAGGTATAAGTTAGTGTTTGGGTAACACAGATACGACACTGGTGTTCATTTTATGTAAATATATCCATATTAAACACAACCTCAACACCGTAGACCTTAACTCGGACTGATTTCAAATACAGAGGGGGTCTGAGGTTGAGTTAGCACAGCGTTACACCAGTGCTACAATGATCTAACTGGTGTTAGACACTACACCACCTAACCCAGGACTTGAATTGACCCATTGGCATGCACATTAAAGATCCCTTGGCAGTTGATATAATTTCCCTCACAGCACACTGTATGGCATATGCCCGTCTTCATTAGCCCAGTCTGAGCAGAACAGTAGAAAGTTAAACTCCATTTCATTTGTTTCAAGGTGAAAAGAAAAGATCAACCTGTCATCACTAAATAGAAGGTCTAGTTATGACTAGAAGCTCTTCCTTGTCTGGTCTTCCATCCTACAACCTTGACCTTGGACTGTGACAGATGAAAGGGGTGATGGGTTTAATGTTATCTGTAGATCTACATCGTTTCAAATGACTGACTAGCTGAGGTTGATAAATTTGGACATCTTTTATTTTTCATTCATAACAAACTAATTAATTTTATTTTTCTTGTTCAATTGAAGAACCATATTTAAAGATAAATTTTTACCGTCATTCGTGCTAAAATAATTTATATTTAAATTTATTTTATGGAAATAACCCTGACAACAAAAACTTACAATACTTTGGATGTGTAAATAAATAATTTTCTTTATATTCTGATGAATTTCCTTTGGTTTTTATAAATTTCTGTTGACTATAAATGATTTATAACAAACATCAAAAGAAAATAGTTTCCATCCGTATGGGTTATAGTATCTTATTTTATGCTGATCTTCATTATCCCAGTCGGTGCAGAATAGTAGGACGTTAAACACCATTTCATCAACAGTTTTTGTGTTGCTATAGATGACTACAAGATGTAAAATGTTTTTCACCAGTATCTCAATCTCTTGTATGAATTCTTTAATGTTTAATTAGATTACTTCCATTATTAAATAATATATCACAAACATCACAAGAAAAGGGTTTTCCTCCAGAATGGGTTCTTGTGTGTTTATATAGACCATTACAAGTGGTAAAATATTTACAAGAAAAAGGGTTTTTTCCCCAGTATGGAGTCTTTATGTTAATCACTGCTAGTAGTAAAATATTTACTACAAACATCACATGTGTTCTTGTATGTTTTTTTCTGCAGTGTGTGATTTCATGT